ACAGCAATAGCCTTGGCTTGGGAATCCCTTTTGCCGCCTTGTAACTTTGCTAAAGGACATGCCTTTTGCCTAAGGGCTTGTTAACTGCACCGCTTGATGCCCTTGGGAGGCTTTTCGGCTTGGTATCAGCATGTGCTGCCTGCCGGGTCGTAAGCTTTTGCAGCCGCTCGCTTCCTGAAGCGTTGCACTGGCTAAATCTCTGTAGTGCCACAGCAATGCAGCCACCTTGGGGCACAGGAGGCAACGGCAGCCTGCACAACGAAGAGGAATAAGCTAGAAATGAGGACACGGGCATGCACACGAACAAAGGGAATTGAATATCACAAAGGGGGGGCGGCTGTGGGCAGGGGTGTAAAGAAGGGGAAGTTGTAGGGCTCGATTAGCGTGCCAGGGACTGCTCACAGTAGCTCTCTCCTTGCAAGGTCTGGTTCCTGCACAAACCTCAGCACGAGCCACCGAGCCATGGTGTCCCAGGGAAGGACAAGACGTTAAATGCAAGGGCGGCCGTGTTCTCCTCCTGCAGTCCCTCTTGCAGCCAGCAGATGCAACTGCGGCTTCGAAAGCCTGTTCTCTCGGCCTAGGTAGAGGCCAGTCATGGCCCTTGGAGCCTAACTAACCCCTGCCCATTGTAGGGACTGAGGTTTTAACTGGGACACGCATGCAACCTTTATTTTAAAACAATTAAAACCTGCCCTAATTGCCTGAATGGCTGCGGTCTGTCACATGGAGGCTGGGAGGCAACGGAGGAACCTGTTTCTTTCTCTGCCTGCATGCCTACAGATAGAGGAATACAGACGAGGAGAAGAGCATTCAGATGCCTAGGGACTGCAGTGCGGCATCAGCCTAATAGTCAAGTGAGTCCCGATTCCGCTCTGGATGGTGCAATTGGGCTACTCCTATACATAAAAGCAGTGCTTGTTTTGTAAGAAAAAGGTGCTGGTACTCCGGGGCAAACTTGTTAAGCAAAAAAAAAAAAAAAATGCTGCGCAGAGGGCCCAAATGTGGTCGCAGCCCCGTTAAGAGCCAAAACACCATGCTGGGAGCTGGAAAAAAACCGCGCCACATGTCCTGAGTAGGCTTCTGTCAGGAGTTGAGCCGCCCCAGGAAAACAGGGGCTGGGGGAAATGCCATTCCTTTTCTGTGTGCTGGGAAAATAGGTGATGGTACGCCGCTCCCGGCCATACCATCACAAAGAAAACACTGCATAAAAGTACGCGGAAGTTTAAGATCTTTGCTGACGAAGGGCCCGAGTGCTTAGACTAACGCCAACAGGTGCAACCAAACCTCGGACCTCTGGAGCTTAGTGTAGGATCTTCTCCAGCTTGAGCTAAAAGCCAGCTGGCTCTCAGCTAAGGCTGTAGAATAGATTCACTCCTTTCTCTCTAAGGGTCCGTCTACACAACAGCGTTATTTCAGAATCACTGACGTGATTCCGAAATAACAGAATCTGCATCTACGCTACAAGCCTTTGTTTCAAAATAATATGGAGCTGCAGGGCTTCTTCCGCCAACTCCTGTAACCCTGCTTTCACAAGGGGGAAGGGAAGGTGAAGGAAAAGTGTTCCTCCTTCAACTTCCTGCAGTGTAGACAGCGCCCAAAGCCGAGTTAAGCTATTGTGACTTCAGCGATGCAGTTGAAGTTGTGTAGTCTATGTCCCCGCCTAGGTTTTTTACCCTAACTTTGGGTCATGCTTAGGAGAACTTCCACAAAGTCACTAGCTCCTTGGGGAAAAGCTTCTCTCTCTCGCCAGCTGATGTTACCTCCCCCACCTTGTCCGCTGTAGCCAAGGGGATTGCTGGGAGCTGTCCTCTGCGGGGCGGTCGGGGTGTAGGGGAGAGATGTACAAAAGCAAGGGCCTGTCCAGCCCCTTGCCTTCCAGAAGGCAGCGAGGGCACGAATGGTTTCCACCCTGTCACTGGGCTGGCCACAGAAGCATGGAAACGTCCTCACGTTCCCTGTGTAGACGGAAAGGCCTGCCAAAGTGGAACGAGTCAGGTGGAAACTCTCGGTGGAAGATGCTTTTGTGGTGACGGCCGGGAGCTTTGAGATGGACCAATCCAATCCCAGAGGAGCAGAGGGGAGCCAAGTGGCTGCAAACGGATAAGGATCAATACTGCCCTCTGCAATGACACGCTGGCTTTAATGTTGTTGCACCTGGGTGGCCAGCGATATAGGGCCGCGGTGCCCCGGCACCAGGAATATTCCTGGCCTGGGGCTGAGCTCCATCAAAACTCATCACCTGGCCCTGTGTTCCCCCAGCCCGGCCCTGCCCCATGTACTCCTCCCATTTCTCTCCACGGATAAGGATCAATACTGCCCTCTGCAATGACACGCTGGCTTTAATGTTGTTGCACCTGGGTGGCCAGCGATATAGGGCCGCGGTGCCCCGGCACCAGGAATATTCCTGGCCTGGGGCTGAGCTCCATCAAAACTCATCACCTGGCCCTGTGTTCCCCCAGCCCGGCCCTGCCCCATGTACTCCTCCCATTTCTCTCC